TGGGTGCTGAGCCTGGGGGTGCTGAGCCTGGGGGTGCTGCGTTTGGAGCTGCTGAGCCTGGAGGTGTGGAGCCTGCGGCCACTGGACCTCCCCTTGTGGCGTCTGGCGGTGCTGGGCCTGGAGGTTCTCCGGGTGTTTCGTCTCGGCGGGAGCCACTCTCTCCACAGGAGCTGCGTGAGTGGTTTGCTTGCCGCTGGAGGCGTACTGCTGGAGCTGGCGCTTCTTCGACCGCTGAGGGTGCTGGTGCCGCCGGTCCCGGAGCTGCTCGGCCTGCGGGTCCGCCTGGAGCTGGAGCTGCTGAGGGTGTTGGTTCTGAGACTACTACTGTCCGTCCTGGAGGTGGTCGTGCTGCGGGTGCTGCTGGTGCTGCTGGAGGTCCTGTCGCTGGAGGTGCTGTTGGCGCTGGTGCTGCCGGAGGTGCTGAGGGTGCTGGTGCTGTCCGTGCTGTGTTTCGTGCCACCGCGCGGCCTCGGCTGTACTTCGTTCCGCTCCTTCAGCAGGTTCTTGGTCTTCCTCCTCTCTTAGAGGGTCCACCGCCTGTCCAGTCGCAGTCACAGTTACCGCCGGCCTCCCCACTGCCTTCTCCCTCTTCCTACACTGGTCCTACTGGGGGTCTTGCTAAGCGTCGTGAGCCTGCGTATCGTCCTGAGTCGCCTGTTCGTGCTGCTCGCACTAGTGGTCGTAGTTCGCGTCAGCGTCCTCCTCCTGTCCCTGGCACGCACCGGATGTCTGTGCGTCCGTCCACTGCTCCTCTGCGTGCCCCTTTGCCCTCTCCTCCTGAGTCCTCGCTTCCTGCTCTTGCCGACCCTGAGTCGGACTCTCTTCGTGCTGCCAGTCCTACTGTCACGCGTCTCCTTGCTACTGTCGTCACTGACCCCTCCTTTGAGTCCACTGCTGCGTCTGCTCTTGTTGCTGAGCTCGTCGACTTTGCTGCTCGCTGTCGTCTAGACTACGCTGCTAGTCTTGTTGCTGGGACTGCGTCTGTCTGTCCTCCGTCCGTCGGGGGTGAGTGTGCTCTTGGCACGGACGTCCTTGAGGACAGGCAGGAGGAGTTTCAGTGTCTGGCTGCTGCTTCACCTCATCTCGCGTCTGTACTGCTTGCCCCTGAGGGAGACCCGGATGCACTAGACATCCCGACTCCGCGCTCTTACGCGGAGGCCGTCAGGGTCCCTACTCCTCTCAGTGGCAGGCAGCTATGGATGCAGAGATGGTTTCCTGGAAGTCCACAGGCACCTACGTTGACGAGGTTCCCCCTCGTGGGGCGAACATCGTCAGTGGCATGTGGATCTTCAGGGTGAAGCGGCCGCCGGGCTCTCCACCTGTCTTCAAGGCGCGGTACGTGGCTCGTGGCTTCAGTCAGCGGCAAGGAGTTGACTACTTTCAGACCTTCTCTCCCACCCCGAAGATGACCACTCTTCGGGTGCTGCTGCACATAGCCGCTCAGCGCGACTACGAGCTCCACTCTCTTGACTTCAGCACTGCTTTCTTGCAGGGTAGCCTGCACGAGGAGATCTGGCTGCGCCGTCCACCTGGCTTCACTGGGACTTTCCCTCCTGGCACCCAGTGGAGCCTCCGACGGCCAGTCTACGGTCTCCGCCAGGCACCGCGTGAGTGGCACGACACACTGAGGACTACGCTTGCGGCTCTTGGGTTTGCTCCCTCTACTGCTGACTCGTCGTTGTTTCTGCGCACCGACACTTCTCTGCCGCCGTTCTACATCCTCGTGTACGTCGACGACTTGGTCTTTGCCACAGCGGACACTGCTGGACTCGCCTACGTGAAGTCCGAGCTGCAGAAGAGACACACGTGCACAGACCTGGGTGAACTGCGCAGCTACCTTGGCTTGCAGATCACCCGAGACAGAGCACGCCGCACCATTACCTTGACTCAGTCACACATGGTGCAGCAGGTCCTTCAGCGCTTCGGCTTCACGTACTCCTCGCCTCAGGCCACTCCTCTGTCTACTCGCCACTCGCTCTCAGCTCTGCCTTCGGATGAGTCCGTAGAGTCGAGTGGCCCGTACCCAGAGCTTGTTGGCTGCCTCATGTACCTGATGACCTGCACTCGACCTGACCTTGCATACCCTCTTAGCATCTTGGCACGCTATGTTGCTCCTGGGAGACACCGACCAGAGCACATGGCTGCAGCGAAGAGGGTGTTACGCTACTTGTGCAGTACGTCGGGCATGTGGCTAGTGCTTGGAGGGCGGAGTCCAGTGGTCCTCACTGGGCACGCGGACGCTTCTTGGGCTGACGACCAGGCTACGCAGCGGTCGTCGCAGGGTTACACCTTCAGTCTTGGTTCCGGCTCTGTTTCGTGGCGGGCTACTCGCTCGCCTTCTGTTCTCGGCTCCAGTTGTGAGGCTGAGATCTACGCCGGGGCCATGGCTGCACAGGAGCTTCGCTGGCTCACCTACCTGCTGACTGACCTTGGAGAGCCGCCTCGTTCTCCTCCAGTGCTGTACGTAGACAACAAGGCCATGCTGGCCTTGTGTCGAGAGCAGCGCCTGGAGCACAGAACGAAGCACATTGCTCTCCGCTACTTTCTTGCTCGTGAGCTGCAGCAGCGTGGTCAGTTGCGACTTGCGTACGTGGCCTCTGAGGCCAACACTGCTGATGTTTTCACCAAGGCACTTCCGCCTTGTGATCATCAGCGTTTCTTCACTCAGCTGGGACTTGTCCCTGTCTTGCCTCACTTGCTCACCTCCTGACCTTACTTGTACTCTTGCATATATATATATATACCTGCTCTTGTTTGTTTAGACCTATATATATATTTATATATATATATATATGTCTCCTCCTGCATGTGAACTGGCCTTGTGGCCTTGACCTTGTGCTCAGACTGTGTGGTGACGTTGTGATCCACCCTGAGCTTGCTTTGCTTTGCTTTGCTTGACTGGTCTTGTGACCCCTTGTTCTCCCCACTTTGCCTATGGGGGTGTGTCAGAACATTATAGCTTATAGTTTTGTGTAGGCTATAGTGGGGTATCCCATAAGGGGTACAACCCAATTAGGGTTAGTACTTGTACCCACTTCACTCATAGTTCATTCACGTTCACTTCTTCACAATCAGTGTGCCTTGTAAACCCTGGCATATCAGGAAAATTCTAGCTCCCGAAAAAATTTACCCTAGGCCGTCAATGTGACTACCAAAAACCACCCTGATAATCAGGGTATTAGGGAGATTTACACTAATAAAATTTGCCCTGGTCAGGATCTGCTGGTTTTCAACGTGACACCTGTATGGTTACTGACGTCAGCCGTTCTGACATTGCGATCTTTGGCTGGGAAGAGTTGAAGGTTTGAAAATTTGAACCACTTGTTACCCTTATGTCTTTACAAAAACACGTGTCAGCCCTGATAGACCGAACTGTACCGCGTCCTGATTTATGAGATGCCTAGAAACTGACTTCAAATAGCCATATGTAGCCTTCGCCGCGCCGACAATAGCGAAGCAGTGAGCGACTTGATTGGTGGCAGTCCCAACGTCCAGCCAGGAACTCAGCGCGCGACATCCCTTGGTCCAAAACGTTTTACAGGTCAATTTCTACGTTACAGAAGTGTTAAATACGGTACCTAAGCCTCGGCCCAATCTCAACGTCAACTCCGTCAGAGCACCAGGAAACAATATGCAACGGTTTATCCAGAATCCACCCCCCCACTCCACCAAATGCTGCCGTACAGCGAAGCAAGTGAGCACCAGACCAAGAATTCACATTTTGCTCATCGAAAGCGGTTCAGTACAATACCATGCACTCTGAAGCGGTATTCTCACTCGGACTTCCATTTCTCACTACTCACCAGTCCGAGCTGAACTTTCAGACATGTAGCGGAATGAGCACCATTACCAAGAATGTTTCAGTTAGATCGCAATGATGCGGCTACCCTCATAACCGAGCTACTCACGGCATTGCGGAGTTAGTGTTCTCCTTCCATTGAATCTTCAATAGCTTCTAGCTTTCTCTGATTTTCCTTACAGTGGAACTAAAGATGAACGCGGCGGCGATGGCTTCATGGAATCGAGCCGCAGTGCTCGTGCCGCCGTTCGTTATAGGCGTCTTGACGGGCTTCACTTTGCTGATGCTGCAGCAGTCACTGTCACCACGCATTCCGATATCATTTGACAGGGTAGAAACAGCAACGGTTCAGAACGAACATACGCCGATCGCGCCGGTTCGCAGTGAATCTCTAACCTCGTTTGAGGAGATCGTACCGTTTCGTTACAACACGAGCGCTGTATTAGTGGACGGAAAGCTGAACGTACACTTGGTGGCTCACTCGCACGACGATCTCGGTTGGCTGAAAACCATTGATCAGTATTACGTGAGTACGGACTACGAAAAATGCCAGAGATTGAGAGATTGAAGAATCGGATCGAATTCTGCGTTACTCTCTGTCAGGAGTCCTCACTGCAGCTTGAACTCGTCCGCTGTCCTCGCTGCTACAGCATTGTTCCCCGAAAATGTTGGAAATAGATTTCAAATGGATCTTCAAGGCCTCCCAGCCGGGCTGCGCTTCCGTAGGGAATTCGATAAGGGGCTTCTGTGTTTGGCGGAACATCGGTCTTTGAAGTTCGGAGAGCCGCATATTAAGTTCGTGACGTGAAATCATGGGCGTGGTTTGTATGACGTGGGTCCGTGTAGTCAGTTCACGCTGACAAGCGGAGATGACGAAAGTCTGACAAATGCTAACCTTCATCCGCACCCTGTTTCTGTTTCGTCGTACATCACTGCAGGTCGACCCGGTACAGTACATCATTGAGACCGTCGTTGACCAGCTTTCAGACAATCCTGACCGTAGATTCATTCAAGTCGAGCAGGTGAGAGCATCGTCTGGACCTAGTAATAGGTTCAATGTGGCCTTACGTTTGCACGGTAGTACCAAGTGCTCGGTACCTCTACTGCTAAATCCTAAGTGGAAGCATATTACAAGTCGCACCACTTATCTGTATTTCTGCAGGGTTTTTTCTATCGTTGGTGGGAACGCCAGCACGAACCAATGCGGGATAAAGTACGGAAGCTGGTGGCTTCTGGCCGATTGGAGTTCATGTGAGTCAGCCCATGCCTTGATGTAGACCGGGATTCACTGACAACATCGCATTCTGACATGTGACAGGAGGGATACGAATCTAGTAGCATCACCCATGCTTTTTCAAGTTTTCATTACCGTAGCATGCATGCATTCGCTGAATTCAAGTTTTCCCTCACCTCCAGAGCATGGCGTGTAGGTCATGCATGACAGGAGTACTGGGCATGCTGCACACCCCCATGGCGGGATGTTGAAGAACCCTCATTTGACATGTCATCCCCCCCTCCTCCCCCTCCTACAACCCCCACTCCCGTGTCTACCCTTCCCCCCACTTCCCCTCCCTCCCCCTCCTTTCCTTCCCCTTCTTCTCTCATACACATATCTTCTATGTTTCTTCCATGTGCTATGCTGTGCAGCAACGGCGGGTGGGTGATGCATGACGAGGCGTGTGCACATTACACGGACATGGTGCATCAGATGGCCATGGGGCACCGCTTCCTCATGGCGACATTCAACGTCACCCCGCGCATCGCCTGGCAGATCGACCCCTTCGGCCACTCTGCTACTCAAGCCAGCCTCATCACTGCTCAGGTGCGGCCTGGGCAGGTGGTCCTTCCCCTCCTTCATTTCCCTTCCCCCCCACCTCCCCCCCACTTAGTCCCCCCCCACCCCTCCCCACATGCATGTCCACCAGGCGCAGTGTTCATGGGGAGGGTGGACCAGCAGGCAAAGGACGCTCACATGGCCGCCTGCGAATTCCAACCCCTGCCCCCTTTCCCATTCCCCATCCCTTCCTCTCCACGAAATCGCCACCACCCCTCTCTTCCCCCCTTCCCCTTTCCCCCACCCTTCTCCCACAAGCATCTCTCCACCAGACGGGGCTACAAGCGGTGTCCATGGGGAGGGAGGACCAACAGGAGAGGGAGACTCGGTTGACCATCCACTCCCACCCCCGACCCCCCATCCCTTTTCCTCCCACCCACCTCCCACACACGTGCCCACCAGGCGGGGTTGGAAGCCGTGTTCATGGGGAGGGTGGACCAGCAGGAAAAGGAGTCTCGTTTGGCCGCCAAAACAATGGAGTTTGTGTGGCGGGCAGACGGGGCGACGCAGAGAGAAAACCAGGTGTGTGCTAGGGTGTGCTGCTGCTGTATGGTAGGGTGTGCTATGGTGGATTCTATTGGAAAAGCAGACTCGTTTGGCCACCAAAACAATGGAATGGAGTTTGTGCGGCGTGCTGAAGGGGCGTCACAGAGAGACAACCAGTTGTGTGTGATATGTGAGGAGGCTGATTGAATGGTAGGGTGTGCTGCTGGGGATTGAATAGGAGAAGCAGGCTCACATGTCCGCCAGGACATCACAGTTCGTGTGCCAGACAGGCAGGCAGCTGTATTTCTCTAATACACGAACTGGGGCCACATGTGGTATTGTCTACGACAGACAATACGAAGGTTCGTTCGAGGCAACCAGGTGGGCCACATGTCATGCTGTTGAGATGTAGGGTGTGCTGTTGTGGAGCGAATATTGCGTGCGTTGTACGGGTGATGGTGAAGATAGGATCTGGTGGTGCTCGTGCATTGAGTGTGCTTCGGTTAGATTGGTCGTACCAAGGTCACCATCTTCTCTCCTCTTGTCAAATGCAATGCACCTGATCCGCTAGATTGCATGTAGCAAAGCGAGTTCTTATCCTCTTCTTACATTTTAATTCAAAACTAGCAGATAGCACTGTGAGTCAACTCTGCCAGCGGCAGATGAAGTCAAATTCGCGTCAAAGACTTTGGATGTCACGAGCACCATCGGATGTCATGCGCCCAGCAATCAAGGTGGCTTTTTTGACGTTCGCGAGCGCGGCGATCTCGATTTCAAAAAACCTTCATCGTCAACCTTGGAATGGTATTCGGTTACTACTTGCCCATACCAGGAAACAGACGATCCTACCAGCCATTCCCCTCGCCACCCCACTCTCTCCACCCCTCTCCAACCCTCTCCCAGGTGCTGGGAATGGTATCCTATGATGGTTACTACTCGCCCTCACAGTTCCGCTACCAGGACTCAGACGATCCTTCTTACCGCATTCAGGTACTCCCTCGCTCTCTCTGCTGCTCTGCACTCGCCCCTCTGCTGCAACGCACTTGCCCCTCTGCAGCAACGCACTTGCCCCTCTGCTGCAACGCACTTGCCCCTCTGCTGCAACGCACTTGCCCCTCTGCTGCAACGCACTTGCCCCTCTGCTGCTCTGCACTTGCCTCTCTGCTGCACAGCAAGCTTCATGTGTGCACCTCTCCTGTAGGCGCGTGATAAAGGAGTGTTTTTGAGACGTCTCACCATGCCTTCCACCATGCCTTCCACCATGCCTTCCACCATGCCTGTCAGCACCATGCCTTGCACCACTCAGTGTTTCGGCTGATCACTTGTGTGGATCCCTGGTCGTGTGCGCGCTGAACCCCCTTACTCCTGACAACCCCATTTCACTCTGCAAAAGTAACTCCCCCCTTTCCTGCCTTGTCGCACCACCACAGCTTCCCCACACCCTCTGCTCTTCCATTGCTCGATCTGCTCTACCATCGTCCCTCTGCCCTCGTCCACTGGTCAGGACAATCCCTATGGGGGGTCGCCCAACGTGCAGCGCCTGGTGGACGAGTTTGTAGCGGAAGTGACCAAGAGGGTGAGTGAGTGGCTCTTGGGCCTTCAAGTGGTTCTTGCCCAGTACATGTTTTTATAGTTGACATAAAAACGAACGTGCAGCGCCTCGCAGAAGAGTTTGTTGCAGAAGTAACACCGAGGGTGGGTGAGTGAGTGGCGCTTGGAGTGTGCTTTGAGACGTCTTGAAAATTTTGACACCGAGAGTGAGTGGTGTGGCGCTTGGACTGTGTTTCAAGCGCACTTGCACAGTAGATGTTCGTGTTAATCATGCTGAAGTGCTCATGGTTTGAAATATGGGCGACGTGACTGATTGAGCGCGCAATGTTAGTCGCCTAAGTTTTTTTCACGTTTCTTGGTACTTGCATGGGGCCTTCAAGTCTTCTAAGTTCCCTGGTGTGCGTGATTGGCCCTCCTCTGTACCATCCACAGCGTCTTTCCACCCGCCAACCCCTCTATCTCAAAACCCTTTCTTCCTCTCACTGCCTTAACCGTTGCTCTCCACGGTTCTCGTCTCACTCACCCCCCAAGGGGCCCCACGGGTTTAAGATATGCTGTTCCCTATGAGCAAGGACTTTGCGTTGAACCAGCCACCCTTCACCCATTGCATCCTCTGCACCTCACCGAGTGAGTGAGGCTCACTCTCTCCCACACACTCTCCCGAGGAAGCAGAGGGCTTCAAGGCGAATCACCTGCTGCTTCCCATGGGCGAGGACTTTACCTTGAACCAAGCCCTCACTCACTCACTCACCCACTCATTCACTCACTCACTCACTAACTCCCTTGCTGCTTCTTCTACACCTTACTCTCTCTCACACTAACTAACAGGCGGAGGGCTTTAAGACGAATCACCTGCTGTTCCCCATGGGCGAGGACTTTGCGTTTGACCGCGCCATCTTGTGGTTCAAGAACATGGACAAGCTCATTCACTACGTCAACCTGGTCGGTCGCTCGCTGGGTGGTTGGTGTGGTATGGCATGGCATGGCTTGACATGACACATCATGCGATGGGATGGGATGGGATTGCATGCTATCTCGTGGTTCAAGAACATGGACAAGCTCATTCATTATGTCAACCTGGTCAGTCGCTGTTGGATCGGTGTGTGTTAGGCATGGCTTGGGATGGCATGGCGTGGCATGCCATCTCGTGGTTTAAGCTCATTCACCACGTCAACCTGGTCAGTTGCTCGCTGGGTGCGAAGTGGGCTGATGGATGCTGGATGATTGGGTTGGGTCGCTGCTGGTTGCTTGGCTTGGCATGGCATGGGGTGGGATGGCGTGACATGCCATGCCATCTCATAAGAAACCAATTTTTTGCACCTTGGGATGAGATTTTACTCATTTTAACTCTGTACCTGTGTTACAGGACGGGAGGGTGAACGCGCTCTATTCCACGCCATCCATGTATCTGGACGCACTCCACTCTGCCAATGCCACGTGGCCTCTCAAGACTGGTGACATGTTCCCGTGAGTCAGCAGGCAGGCAACGGTTTGGTTACCCCTGCAACTAGCCATCCCCACCCACCCGCACCCATCCGCGCCCACACGCACTCACCACACTGCATTCATCTATATATGTTCTTAAAAAGAATATACATCTCTCTCACCCATCATGCCCCCCTATCGCTCACCCATTCCCCTTCCCCTTCTCCCTCCCAATCTCTGCTTTTCCATGCCCAAGAGTCTCTCACCCCAGCCATGGGGAGGACGGCTCAGCACGCCCCACCGGGCGGCACAGCACACCCCGCTGGGCGGCACAGCACACCCCGCTGGGCGGCATAGCACGGCACAGCACACCCCGCTGGGCGGCATAGCACACCCCGCTGGGCGGCACAGCACGCCCCACTGGGCGGCACAGCACGCCCCACTAGGCGGCACAGCACGCTCCACTGGCCGCCACAGCACGCTCCACTGGACGGCACATCACGCCCACTGGACAGGCTGGGCCATGGCACAAGGGAACCTATTCTCTGCATAGAGTTCTCACATACCCTCCCCCCAGTCTCCCCCCTTCCCGCTCCCCTCCCCCCTTGCCTCACCCCTCACCCCATGCATGTGCCCCTCGCCCCAGCTATCAGGACGATGGGCCCTACTGTTCGGGCTACTTCAGAGGAGAAACCCATTGTCCGCATATGTTCTCGCGTTCCCCCCTCGTCCCCCATTCCCCTCCCTCCCTTCCGCCCACCCTCTCCCTCCCCTCCGCCCATGCGCCCCTCGCCCCAGCTACCAGGACGACGGGCCCTACTGGTCCGGCTACTTCACATGAGGACCCTTCTCCGCATATTTTCCCCCGTCCCCCAACCCCTCCCTCTTCTCCGTCCATGCGCTCCTCGCCCCAGCTACCAGGACGACGGGCCCTACTGGTCCGGCTACTTCAGCAGCCGCCCCTCTCTGAAGCTCCTCGCGCGCTCCTGCAGCGCCTGCTGCTGGTGCGCTGCCCTCTTCAACCTGCTCATTTGATGTGGTGTGGTGTGGTGGGATGGGATGGGATGGGCTGGGATGGGCTGGGGTGGGATGGGATGGGATGGGATGGGATGGGATTGGATGGGATGGGATGGGAATGGGATTGGATGGGATGGGATGGGATGGGATGGGATGGGATGGGATGGGATGGGATGGGTTGGGTTGGGATGGGATGGGATGGGATGGGATGGGATGGGATGGGATGGGATGGGATGGGATGGGTGGGGTGGGGTGGGGTGGGGTGGGGTGGGTGGGGTGGGGTGGGATGGGATGGATGGGATGGGATGGGATGGGATGGGATGGGATGGGATGGGATGGGATGGGAATGGGAATGGGATGGGATGGGATGGGATGGGGTGGGATGGGATGGATGGGGATGTCACATTGGGGTCTTACTCCCTGAAGCTCCTTGCGCGCTCCTGCAGCGCCCTGCTGCTGGTGCGCTGCCCTCTCAACCTGCTCATTTGAATGTGGTGGTGTGGTGTGGTTGGTGGATGGGATGGGATGGGCTTGGATGGGCTGGGGTGGGATGGGATGGGATGGGATGGGATGGGATGGGATGGGATGGGATGGGATGGGATTGGGATGGGATGGGATGGGATGGGTTGGGATGGGATGGGATGGGATGGGATGGGATGGGATGGGATGGGATGGGATGGGATGGGATGGGATGGGATGGGATGGGATGGGATGGGATGGGATGGGATGGGATGGGGTGGGGTGGTGTGGTGGGGTGGGGTGGGGTTGGGGGTGGGGGTGGGGTGGGGTGGGATGGGATGGGATGGGATGGGATGGGATGGATGGGATGGGATGGGATGGGATGGGATGTATGGGATGGGATGGGTATGGGATGGGATGGGCTGGGATGGGGCTGGGGTGGGATGGGATGGGATGGGATGGTGATGGGATGGGATGGGATGGGATGGGATGGGATGGGATGGGGATGGGATGGATGGGATGGATGGAGTGGGATGGATGGGCATGGGATGGGATGGGATGGGATGTCACATTGGGTCTTACTCCCTGAAGCTCCTCGTGGCGCATCCTGCAGCTCGCTGCTGCTAGCGCGCTGCTTATTTCAGCTGCCTGTTTCTGTGTGATGCTATGGGATGGGATGGGATGTTGTATGGTATGATGCGATATGCTGTGTTGTGATGTGATTATGAGTGGACGCGAGAAGAGATTTCACCTATTAATTATTTCCCTCCCTACAGTCACATCATCCAGACCTGCCGCACCCTCCCATCTTTCACTCTGGCCTGTTGTTTCAACCATTTGAGTCAACTCAACAGTCACATCAATCACGTTTTCCTCACTCACCCATGTTTCACGCTACCCGTGCGGTCGATGCTGCTCGCCTGGCCTACATGCAGGGGACTGGTTGGTTGGTTGGCGTCAGTGCTGGAAGCTACGGATGCCTGAACCCACCTGGCTCACGTCACTTGGCGCGCCCTTGAAAAAGCACACTTGCCATTGCTTCCTTTCTACAAGGACAAGAAGTGGGCTGAAGCTGTCTTGCTTACCCCAACAGCATCACATGTGTGCCTGTCCTGCTCTCTCGTCCTTCAGGCCACCACAGCAGCAGAGGCAGCAGTGGGGAAGGAAGCGCTACAGGCATGGGGCATGGCGACGGGGCGCATGATGGTACTGGAGCACCTTGTGCTCGACACACACATGGGCAAGACGACCAGAGACAGCCAGAAGGAGGAGAAGCAGGCGGATGGGGGGGAGAGTGCGGGAGGGGTGGAGCGGATGAGGGTGGGGTGGGAGAGCGAGCGGCGGGTGCGAGTGGCGAGCTCGTTCCGGTTGGAGGAGGCGGTGGCAGTGGTGCAGCACCATGATGGCATCACAGGCACGGCGCAGCAGCATGTTACGATGACTACTCTGACAGGCTGCACCGCGCTTCTGAGGAGGTGAGGGTTGCACAGATAGAGGTTGATCCCTTCAGTGCACGGGTAGAGACTGCTCCTGTGAGTGGTATGGCATGGGCTAGAGGAGGCGGTGGCAGTGGTGCAGCACCATGATGGGATCACAGGCACGGCGCAGCAGCATGTTACCGATGACTACTCTGCTCTGCTGCACCGCATTGCTGAGGAGGTGAGGGATGAGTGCATGGGTAGAGGTTAGTCCCCTCAGTGCAAGGCGAATGGACTGGAGGAGGCGGTGGCAGTGGTGCAGCTCCATGATGGCATCACGGGCGCGGCCCAGCAGCACGTTACTGATGATTACTCTTCCAGCCGCGCTTCAGAGGAGGTGAGTGCGTGCCTGATGACTGGCTTGCTACAGCTAGGGCTGGTTGGGGTTAGGGTTGAGCTCGTTCCGGCTGTAGGCGGCGGTGGCAGTGGGGCAGCACCACGACGGCATTACAGGCACGGCACAGCGGTACGTTACTGATGATTACTCTGCCAGACTTCACCGCGCTGCGCTGGAGGTGAGCTGTGGCGTGGATGGCGACGGATGGTATTAGGTGCTGCGTGCATGTGTGAGCTCCTATGCGTGCATGTGTGAGCTCCTATGCGTGCAACACCGCATCACAGGCACAGCACAGCAGCATGTTACTGACGACTGCTCTGAACGGCTGTATTGCACTGCACTGCCGAGGTTGGGTGCTGCGTACATACACGTATGGGTTGGTTTGGGTTGGGTTGGGTTGGGTTGGGTGCGACATGCATGGTATTACCATAGACTGCTCCTTTAAATGGGTTCAGGCTGGTGCTAGCCTCCCAACCTCACGGGCCCCCCATTCCCCATACCACCCACCGCCGACCGCCGACCCAGGCATCCACCAGCTGTGCTCACAGCAGCCCTCATGCACCTCATCACGCGAGGCACCCCCCACCCCTCCCCAGACACTCCACTCCACACACCTAGGTGACTTTTGAGTCGACTCAAAAGTCACCTCACTCCACACACCTCACCTCGCCATCCCCATCTTCCCCACCCATACAGGAATCAGCCGTGCTGACACCTCATCACGCGAGGCACCATCCCCCCTCTCCAGGCACTCCACACACCCCACCATCCCCATCCGTACCCTACCCCCTCCTGCCAACTTCCCCTCCCATCTCCCAACCTCCCATGCCCCACCCTACCAACCGCCCATGCAGGCATCAGCCGTGCTGACAGCAGCACTGGCGCACCTCATCACGCGAGGGACCCTCCCCCATCCCCATCCGTACCTCCATCCAACCTCTCCTCCAACCTGTCCTCACGGGCAGCAGCAGCCGTGGAGTTCACATTTAGGGAGGACAGTGTCGAGCAGCGCGGGTGGGGGTTCTGGAACCAGTTAGCAGATGGGGCGGAGGAGGGGGACGAGGAGGATGAGGAAGATGAGGGGGACGAAGAGGGTAAGGCACGCAACAAAATCGACAGGATGAATGAGTTATTGTATGAGGCGGATAGAGCAGGTGCGGCGGATGACGAAGATGAGGGGATGAGGAGGCGGGCGAGGGAGATGGTGGGAAGCATGCTGCAAGGTCCCGTGCAAAGAAGAAAGTCCCTCACGTGACGGAGGAGGCAATATTTGAGTCGACTCAGAAAAATTCCGGTGTGGAAAAGAGGGTTCCTGACAAGGAGGAGGAGGAGGAGGAGAGAACAAGCGACCCCAATGAGGTGTTTGACCCTCAGTCGTTGCAGCCAGCTGACCCTCAAGCGGTCCAGAATGGTGCTGCTGGCCGTGCTGCTGACGGCACACGGGCTGAGGAGAGGAGGGTGCAGGAGGTGGAGGAGGGGCAAGTGAGCAGGGGGCGGAGAAGGAGGGGGGTGACGCTGGGCGAGACGGTGCCAAAGCAGAGCAGGGGGGACAGCAGCTTCCTTCACTGAACCTGAAAATGGTGTGTGATGGTGTTGATGGTGGCGGTGTGATGTGGTGGTGGTTTGATGGTGGTGTGATTGTGTGTGATGGATGGTGGTGTGAGTTGATGGTGGTGTGATGTGGATGATTGTAGAAGTGCGAAACAGGGAGCTGGTCCAACGAGGTGACTGATTCCCTGGATGTTTCTTTTTGCTACGCCACGATGGTCAAAGGGGCGATTGGTTGGATTCAATGAAATTGACAGGTTTTGAGACGTCTCAAAACTAGACGTTGTAAAACCAAAGGGGCGATTGGATTGGATCAGATCAGGTTGACAGACTGTACCAACCAGACCAGCTGCTCTTTCAACTGCTCCCACGACGTCTGAGCATCACAAATTGTTGTGCTCCAACCATTTGTGACCGCTATGCTCCTAACCTCTATGCTGCTTCCATCTTGCCTGTCATCCTCTCATCCCTCCTCCTCTATCACCCCCTCTCATCCTGAATTCCACTCCCCACCCTCCCTTCCTTCCCCCGTCTTCACAGTGCCCTCTGCTCAACATCTCCTATTGCCCTCCACCGAAACACCCCTGCAGCCAGATCAGACCCTGGTACGTACCCTGCGTGCTGTGCTGTTTCACATGCCATGCCACACACACACCATCCCATAAGCGCCGTGAAGCATTCCCTCATGCAGTCAGTCAACTCAAAACCCACTGACCTGTGCATCCTTGCTTCCCTCTGTTTCACTGCCCATTTTCCCAACTGCCCGTTTCCGCATCTCCTTTGCTTGCCTTCCTTGCTACTTTCTCACTCACCTCTCACATCCATCCCTACTCTCACCTCCATCTAACTTCTCACCCACCTCCCTCTCCATCTCTCTCTTTCAGTTCCATACGCACCGCTTGTCTCCATGCTTCCTCCCTCCCACCCATATCCTTATACCCGGGCACCTTTGAGAATTCCCAAGGCACCTTTGAGAACTCCCAAGGGCACCTTTGAGAATTCCCAAGGCACCATTGGGAATTCCCAAGGCACCTCATCCATATCATATCGGCCCACACGTCTCCACCTTTCTCATCCATCCATACCCATCGGGCCATCCCACAGGTGGTGGTGGCCTTCAACCCTCTTATGAGGTGCCTCAAAAGCACCTCATCTGTATCATATTGGCCCACACGTCTCCACCTTTCCCATCCATCCATACTCATCCCACAGGTGGTGGTGGCCTTCAACCCTCTCGCGTGGTCCCGCTCTGAAGTGATTCGATTCCCGGTATGAGTGCACGCGCACCCTTCAATGCTGTTACTTGCTTCATCCATCTTGCCTTGCATTGGCATTAAGCATCAGCAATTGCATCAGCAACTGCATGTGCACCTGCATGGGCACCGGCACCAGAGGTCGACAGCATTATCAAGTGAACGATTTGTTGCCCTCCTCTCCCTTACAACGCAGAGGTTTCACACACTCTCCCTCCCCACACAACACCCCCCTCACTCCTTGACAGGTATCTTTCCCCAGCTTACTCCTCACTGCTGCCTCTCATGCCCCATCCCCTCTCAAATTTCTCAACAATCACTCTCCTCCCTTTTTACATTCACTCCACTCCAACCACATCATGTCTTACGCCCTTTCCATCCCTTCCCTCCTCTGCTCCTCCCTCTCTCTCTCCCCTTCCCACTACGCTCCTTGACAGGTGTCATCCCCCTACCTTCTAGTCACTGATGCCTCTGGCGCCCCCATCCCCTCTCAAAAACTTCAAGAGACCCTCCTCTCCCCTCCCTCTGTTCCCCCCGTCTCTCCGCCTCTCCCCACTGCTCTCCCTGACAGGTGTCATCCCCCAATCTCCTTGTTACCGACGCTTCTGGCGCCGCCATCCCTTCTCAAATACTCCAAGAGACCCTCCTCTCCCCCTCCACCTGCTCCACTCCAACCACATCAGGGCTTACGCTTCCCTTCCACCCCCTCCCTTCTCTTCCTCTCCCCTCTCCCCCTCTCCCAATGCTCTCCCTGACAGGTGTCATCCCCCAATCTGCTAGTCGCCGACGCCTCTGGCGCCCCCATCCCCTCTCAAATAATCAGGGAGACGCTCGTCACCCCCGCCACCCGCTCCACCTACATTGCTGCTTACACTGGCGTGGGGGAAAATAGTAGGAGAGGTGGAGGGGGAGGAGGAAGGGGTGGGAGGGGGGGGGAAGGAGGGGAGGAGGGAGCGGAGGAGGGGGAGGAGGGGGATGAGGAGGAGGGGCGGGGAGGGGGAGGGAGGAGGAGGAGTGGGTGGGATTATGGGGATGGGCGAGGGCCGCAGCCGAGCCATAAGCCGAAAAGGAAGCATCGGGAGAGGCAGACGAAGGAGGAGACGGGGGGAGAGCAGAAGGAGGGAGAGCAGAAGGAGGAGAGCAGAAGGAGGGAGAGCAGAAGGAGGGGGAGCAGCGGGAGGGAGAGCAGGAGGGAGAGCAGCAGCAGCAGCAGCAGCAGCAGCAGGCAGTGCTGTCGCTTGTGTTTTATGCAGAGGTGCCTCCTCTTGGATTCGCCACCTTCTTTGTCTCGCCAGCAACCCAAGGTACAGCACCTATCATCAGTCAGGTACGCTGTCTAGCCCATCTCGAAAAATCGTCACTCGGGTTTGCTACTCATGGCGGAAGAGCAGCAAATCTGAAGCTTGTCAAAGTACAGAAGCTGTGGTATACAGCTCGCTAAGGTATGTTCCAAGGAAAGAGCTCACTGGGAAAGGACGGTTTGCCAAGGTATGTTCCATGCAGACAAGCACATGCACAGAGAGCAAGCAGAGCATGCTACGTGTGTGCTTCCTGTCACACCACAGCACCCCTGCAAACCACTCTGCTCCCTTGCTCACCTGCCTCTCACAATTCCACGCCTTCCCCACGTGCAGGACACACCTGGCAGAGCGTACGAGAGTGCTGCATGGAGCAGTGTGGTTGACGCTACAGCAACAACGGCAGCGGCAGCAGCAGCAGCACAGCCTGTGGCAGCACCGCTGCCTGCGACAGCAGCAGCAGCATCATCAGCATCTGAAAAGGCATCAGCTGAGACGGAAGCTGCAGCGGCCCAGGCAGGGCAGCCGAGAAGCAACCCGGCAAGGCGGGGAGGGGGAGGAACACGAGAGGTGCGGAGGATGGCGGTGCGCGGTGGACAGGAGGGAGGGTTGAACGGTGGGGAGAGGAGAGGGAGAGAGGCGGGGAGCAGGGGGAGAGGAAGCAGGAGGGGGTTGCATGGCGGTGGTGGGGGAATGGAGGAGGGCAAGATGGGTGGGGGAGGAGGAGAGGGAGGGGGAAGGGGGAGGGAGGGGGGCTGGAGAGGGGTGTGATACTGTTGTGCTGGAGGGGTGCAAGGCGTGGGGGCCACTCGGGTAGCGGTGCTGCATGGTGCTGGCACGGACGGTGGGGGAGCGGGCTGCGTTGCGTGTCTCGTTCTCCAAGTCAGCGGTGGGCATGCAGCCGGATGGAGCTGGTCTCTCGGAGTGCCAATGGCACGGAGGAGGTTGTGGTGAGTGGTGTGGCACGGGGGGAGATTGTGGTGTGGCAGTGGAGTAAGTAAGTGGGTGGGTGGTGATGTGACTATGGCGGGGGCAATTAGCGATGTGGGTGTTGAGTGAGGGAAAAGGGGTTGGCTGGCGGCATGAGCAGGATGACATGGGCAGGGATGACATGGGCAGGGGAATTACATGGGCAGGGATGACATGGGCATGGATGACATGGGCAGGGATGACATGGGAAAGGATTACATGGGCAGGGATGATTTGTTACTGGCTGGGATGATTTGTTACTGGCTGGGATGATTTGTTACTGGCTGGGATGATTTGTTACTGCTGGGATGATTTGTTACTGGCTGGAAAGCGAGATTAGAAAGGATAGAATGGGTAACCTCCTGCAAGCTGTTGCAGTTGAAGAGCATATTGACTTGACACAGTGGATCGTGTCAATCCTTCTTTCTACTTTTCTTTGCAACTAAAGCATAGCGTACTCACATAGTGAAGCGAAAAACACTGAACTTTCCAGTCCAGCCGACAATGGCACTTGGTAGGCACTGCACTTGTACCATCCTCAAATGGATGTAATTTCTCGTTGTGCACTCCTGTTACATGCCCTGTCATGTCATCTGCTCTGCTCCCTGCATACCATGGCACGCACCCCCTCACCCCACCACATCAATCCCATCCCACGCCCCCCCATGCCGCGCCATGGCACAGCGCATGGGCATGGCAGTGAGTGCCAGCATGATGGAGTATGCCACCTTAGCTTGAGGTGCATACATCGTACCACCTCATCCACTCCACCCCACCCCATGCCACGGCAGCGCATGGGCATGGCAGTGAGTGCCAGCATGATGGAGTATGCCACATTCGCCGGCGGCGCATACATCTTCCAACCCTCCAAGCCAGCCATGCCCATCACCTCCACCAACGCCACCTACCAGGTCAGTCAGTGGACGTGTGGGTCACAACAAGCGCCAAGGTGCACGCAGCATGGATCTCACACTCCACTGATAGAACCAGTGCCTTGAGTCTCCACTGGTAGAACCAGTGCCTTGAGTCGTTCAAGTCACAGCAGGTGCATACATCTGAGTCGCTTTTGAGAATTCTCAAGAGCGACATCTTCAGCCAGCCACCAAGCCAGCACGCCCGTCACCACCAAGCCAGCCCCGTCACCACCACCACGAATAGCACTCACCAGGTCAGTGGGCGGGAGGGTGGGTCACGACTCAGAACCACCACCATGACGCAGCATGCCTCTCGCAGGGCAGTGGTGGCGCCAGTGGCAGTGTCTTGAGAATGAAAAGGTCAGAGGAGGTGGTGTGTGCACCGCAGCGCATGGGCATGTACGTGATGCACCATAGTGCGACATGCTTGTGATGCTTCTCCTGCTGCACCGGTGCTGACTGTGCCTTCAGTGTAGAATGGCTCTTGATGGCTGGGGTGGTGGGTGCTCTCGTGGGTGCGTGCGTGCATGGGTGGGTGGGTGGGTGGGTGGGGGGTGGGTGGGTGGAGTGAAGCCGCTTTACAGCACCAGGCCTTTGATTTCCATGAGATTTTTGTTCTGCTCTGCTGACGTGGCACAGGTGCCCATTCACATCCAGCGTGGACCAATCGTGGAGGAGTTCAGCCGCCAGATCACTCCATGGATCTCTGAGGTGAGTGCACTTCCTTCACCTCCTTCTCCTCCACCTCCTTGAGTGTGCAGGGCACTTTTCAGAAACATAAACCCGCAACTTCCTGCAGTGGTGCATAAATGGATTCCCTTTTTGTTACCTCGCCCTACCCACTGCAACGTGCTTCCACTGCCTCATTGCATCCTCCCGCTGCTTGCGTCTCTGCGCGCTCTGCACCGCTCCCAACTCCCAGGTCTTCAGAGTGTATCCAGGGGGGGACTACGCTGAGCTGCACTATTCGTGAGTGCTCTCTGATTCTTGCACACCCTGGTTTCCAGAATCCGCATGAACCGACTCTTCATTTCAGTCGGTCTCACAAGACATTGCCTGGGCCAACCGGCTGTGGTCTGACAAGACGTTGCTTGGGCCAGATGGATCCCTGCCCCCCTGGGGTGGCAACCAGACCAGAGGTGGTGGTGTTTCGCCTCACCACTGCTTGTGAAGCCATTTCCACGCGATGGAAAAGGAATGCGCTGCTAGTTCACATCAGCCTGTGCTGTTC